AACAGTATTTATTCTAGGTGGCAGCACGGCCTAGTGGGCAACGTTGATATTCAGTGGTCAATATTAGTTTTTATTTCATGGCATATGGCATGCTCTGCAACCATCACAATGCGATGATTTTTCCAGCCATATAACAGCTTTCTTTCTCTCTCTCACACTCTCTGTGGTTTTCTCTCCGTCTTTTAGTCCCTGTCGCTCTCTTTTTACTCGATCACTCGTTTTCTCGCTCTCTCTCCTCGTTTGATATTGTGTTACCTGTTACATATACGCTCGCTCCTCTATAATGCATTTTATATGCTTTCCTCTATATGGCATGTGGGAGAGGGCTTTTAATCTTTCAACGCGAGCAAACACGAGTCGGCAGCCTATATGCAGCGAGCGGTGCACGATTACGTTTTCAGACGAGGCGCCCGTGGAGATTGTCTCGCGAGGACGCGAGGCGATGCGCGTGTTCCAGCACGCCTCCGCCTCGGGCACGACGCCCGTCCATCGCACACGCATCATGATAGTCGGACCTCACCGCGTCGGCAAGACGCGTCTCAAGAGCGCCATGCTGGGACACAGGTGAGCTGGCGCGCGCGTGTGCCGTAGAGTGTCAACTAGGAGTGATCAGGAATAAAAGGAAGTGACAGGATCAGAATCAGTAATCAGTAACAGGATGATTTCCACTGACAGGAACATTTGCGTGCTCGCAAAGTGAGCGGAAGTCCGTCGGGGCGTGGTTCCGATATTTCCCCCCAGTTTTACGGGTTGGAAAGAGTCGAAAGTGGTCCTTTTCACAAAATAAGACAATTAAGTGAAAGGAGTATAACTAAAAATCGGGCAGATCGTAAATTAATTCACTGCAATAAATGCGTGGCCGCCGTCGGCAGTAAAATTTACCTTCTAGTGCGAAAACGAGACGTCGAAAGATGGCAAGACAACTCTTTAGCTAATAAATATGCTGGCGACCTGTGATGCGTGGCGTTTGTAAGTGCGTACGGGCGAGCTACCCAGTGAGCGGATGCAAAAAATCCTGGTCAGACGTCAGCAATAACGCGATTGATCCCGCGAGCACAAACCTCTAAAAAGTATTGCTGACGAAAGTAAGTGTGTATTGCCTTAAAAAAAATGCTCTCAGCGGCCCTCGTGAATGTCTCTCGAAAGAAGCGTTTAGTAACGATCTACGTCAGTGCGTGGGGATGCATGGAGACATGACAGTGTGTGCGAGTGGTGCAGCACTGGTGACGCCGAGAGGTGGAATCGGCTGGTGTTGTACCGTACCGTTTTAGAGAAGACTTAACAGCGATGTGAACACAACAACGACAGTAGTGTCTGTAATTTGACGAGTGTATTTTCGCACTTGCTCTGCGTTCCAAGTGATTGATGTCGTAAGCGTGACATTATTACCTTTGAGATTGCTCGCAACAGCTCTGCTGAATGACACTTAGAGAAATAATTTACACAGTTTTATTGCGTCTACACGTGAGCATATCTGTACGTTGTGCAGTGTAGTTTACATTCGTGCGGTCGGTGCAATTGAGACTATATAGAATATATTAGAATATAAATTTTTTGGTTTAATGTGCAGTTAAATATTCAGTGTAATATAAATACAAGGAATTTATACTATATAAAATTATAATGTTTCAATTTTATTAAATAAGTTGAGTAAAGGCAGTAAATTAAACGGCTTTTATTAAACGCAACTGATTGTATGCGTCTGAAAGAATCTAGTTTCCATAAAAAATTAATACGAATAAAAATGATCTATACGGAGATATATGTTTGTTATCAATATTATACTCTGTTATACAACGTTATACTCTGTTATACAACGTATTATACTATGTTATAATATGTTATGTTATATTATATTATATTGTATTACATAACATTATATTATATCATTTTATATTATATTATAGTATACTATAATAATTATATTATATTATATTATATTGTATGTGATAATTAGCAGTAGTACATCTCACTATTCATCATACATGCTTACAGGGATAACACGGGTGCTCTCAGTACTGATGAGATTGACATGTCAGCTAGCTGTGAGGTACTGCTTGATGATGGCGCTGCCGTGTGGCTCTCTCACAGCAAAGATCAGCATCCACTGCCTCCTGCCAATGGAGTCACTAAGAAATCTGTCAACGGTAGGTCATGCGCTTAGTTTCCAAATTAGCTGCCACTTTCCCTCATTTACCAGTTTATCACTTGCATTTGCCAGCAATCCGGCTTATTGCTTTCACCTGCTTGCGACTCAATGCATTCTAAATTTAGCGAAGGATTTGTAGATGGAAAATCCCGACGCCACTCGCAATTCGCACCTTGCAGGAGATGTAGGCAATTAATTCGCTTTTTCAAAAGTTAGGAATGCCTCTTATTTCTATCTGCACACTACGTCTCAGCGAAGACAGTGACTCAGCAATACGTGCTATGGGCACTATATATATGGGCTTTATTTCTCTGTGTTGTTATAATCTAACAGGCAGTATGTTGAATTTTGTTTCCCTGCGTTGTCGTAGTGGCGTGGGCAATAGGTTAAAGTTTATATTTCTGCACACTTATAATTTAAAAATCTGTTATGCAAAATTAAACAGACCTTATATTATTACCATAATCCTACCTATACGTATGTTCATGCTACTACTTACCACGGTTCCTTATAGTATTCTTCACGTCTGTTTCTTACATACTTACTTATATCTTGCCCTCATAGTGTTCTTTACCTGTGGTCTTTATATTATTCCTTATATCTGGTCTTTATATTATTCATTACCGCGTAATCTTATGGTCTCATAATTCATTAGAACAAGAGGAAGGCCAGGATGAAGATTATTCAAGGGCGGTGGCCACGAATGTCGTCCAAGAGCTAATCGCACTGAAACGGCAGAAGGAGGAAGAGAAACGGCAGAGGCTCGGCGATTCTGAATTCTCTATCGACTCAGAAGAAGAGAAGCAGGTGAGGGCTCCTCCGTCGATTGCACAATCTGCGACCCTGACTGTGCGACCCTGGCTGTGCGTGCGTCGTTCTTGCTTTCTGTGTGCCACAGGGGGATGGTGGTGGCCTAATTGCTTAGTACTGGGATTCTCCCATTTATGCTCAGGGAACACGTCGAAGACTGTCAACGTCGTAACCTTTGAATGACTCTTCACTTCAAAAGTTGTGATGTTTGACATATTCAATGTCTCTGACGGTGGGTTCCGGAGCGGTATCGTCCACATTGCTCATTGTTATTGCGTAGACTCAGAAGCAGAGAAGTAGGCACGGCCGTCTAAATGGCATCGTTTGTCAACCTATTCCACCCACTGTTTACTGTTTGTGCGAGGTGATACATGACTGCATTACAAGGCGCAGCGGTGGCCTAATGGTTAGCACTCAGAACTTGAGGTTTAAGGTGAAGGTCTGAAGCTTCTTGCGCCACCGTACTGCACTGCCAGTGTGATAAAGGCACTTTATTTCTCGATTGGGTTCCGCCGCCGTTGGCTCGTACTCTTAGTAATGAGTTTACAGCGCGAGACAGCGGAGAGGTAATCATTCTGGGTCGAGCATAGCTGGCTCGGGGGAAATCACGGCTGCTCCCCCGCGTGTCGTTCAGCAAGGCACTTCACTCGCATTATACCTCGTATCGAAGTGTGCAAATACTCTGCAGGGACTACCTTTTATGTGACAACTAGTGGTTTATGCATCCGTCGTTGTGTAAAGTACTTGTCTGTTTGGGTATTTATGTTCGCGTTTAGCGCAGACCCGGTACGGCATTGCCTTTGTAAACGTTGTCGCCCGTCATGTAGTATTCACTCGAACCTGTATGAAAAGGATCACTCGGGCAGAATGGCAAGTGTGTTGTTTATAGATAGTAGTGTACGTTGTATAGACGTGGTTTCACTGTATAATTTCTATCCGAGGAAAACGCCAAAAGCGACTTTCATAGACAAGTCTCCGTTCTGTGAATGTGACTTCACTTCATAGCTGCCACTCAAGGGAGGCGTCAAAGATTCCTTTATAGGCAGGTGGCCGTTCTATAGAGGTGGTTTCACTGGATGCCTCCCAGTCCGTTCGCTAAAGCTGACCGCCGTTCCGTAGAGGTGACTGCTAATACAGGCCTGACTGCATGTAGTCACCTTGTAGCTTAACATGCGTCTAAACAGAGGAATTGCTCCGACCTGTGATTGGAGGATAAAAATAGACCCCGCCCACTTTTTCATTTTTGGAGGATAAAAATAGAATTCGTGACGTTTCGTTTCACCGGTCATAGCCGCGCGTGCATGATATTTGCTAATTAATTAGACTAATCACGCTTTAATAGACTCAAAATTCACAGCGATTAAGGCTAAGTCATCATGTCTATAATAGCTAGAATTTATAGAAATGTAACTCAAATCGTTTGCTCCATATATGATATAGTTAGTACACGTTCCTACCGGTCATAGCATAGCGTATGCGGCGGGAGTGGGCGGGGTCTATTTTTATCCTCCAATTACAGGTCGGAGCAATTCCTCTGTTTAGAGGCATGTGTAGCTTAGACAACCATTTTGTCGGCAGTCTATATAATAATACAGCGATGCTTGCAACAAAGAAACCTAAAGGTTGCGCACAATGCTTTGCAGATCCCTATTTATTTACCAGAGGAACGTGGTATTGATCGAATGTATATATATATATATATATATATATATATATATCATGTCCGATTCGTTTAGTGGGTGCGCAGCCTTTATACCATGAGTAACTAGGCGAGATGATACGTGTACTATCACTTTAAGTGTTTGCGCCAGACACACGCGCAATGTGTCTACTCGGGTCAGTGTCGTACCCAGGGGCGGATTCAGTACGTATTTGCCGTATTGGGAAATACGGTCTAGATAGATCTATTGGGTATTGCCGTATTGGGAAATACGGTCTAGATTTCAAAGTGCCCTTCGAAATTTTGCGCTAAAAAATACAGAAAACAATTTGATGGAATTTGGCTATATTCTTTATTTGTTTTCTTTTTCTTCTGATTCATTGACAGGACTTGAAGGAAATCAAAATTTTACATGGTAACACGGTGTGTTGGATTTAGGGCAGACACGGGTGGACTGAACTGACTGCAGGAGAGATGGGTCTTGTGACATCCCAAAATAAAAAATTTCATCTACATGGTCAGGTGTATTGGTAAAATAAGTGAATAAATACTATGTAATAATACAGTAATTCATTAGAGTATAGTTATTGCAGGAATACACCAAGATGCCAATGTAGTAATTGTTATTAAATAATGTGGTAAATGTAGTATTGGTAGTATTGAGTAATTATGTTAAGTATACCTCTGACAATAGTATAATATAACTATGCTCAGGAGTAAACAAAAAAACAAGTAGTTTTTTATTCACTCCTGGTATTATGATTGTATAATCACTTTCCGGCCGTCTATACACTTTATGCATACGTCCAATCTTACTGACAAGGCTTCAAACCCGTTCACCACGTCTCACAACTATTATAGTATTGCTTTTCTCTCTGTTTACCAAAAGTGAAAGTATTTTTTCGTAATTTCCCTTCGTAAAAATCCCAAGGCAGTTTAGCTCGGCGTCATTTTAGTCGCAGAACGGCATTCATATATAGCGTATATTTACTATACATGTATTTTCCATTAGTGTTGCATTGATGCATTGCCGTTTCGAGCTATTTTATGTCGGCGGCACTGTATTGATATATGTGTGTATTATAGTGGGAACCAGTGCGTTACAGCTACAATAGGGGACGTGGAACATAGCAGTGAAAGTTTGCCTTGGTGGAATGAGAGTGAAAGTTTGATTTCACAACATGCAGCGGCATATAGTGGTTTTGATACATTAAAACATAATACCAAGAGTCCATAATAGAAAATGTGCTATTATGGACTCTTGATAATACTAATAATCTCTGTTGTGTCCCAATACATGAACTTAGTCTAAATGCCAACCTTATATATAAATAAATATATATATATATGCACGCACGCACGCACGCACGCACGCACGCATACACGCACGCATCTATATATCTAAAGTTGTTGAGTTTGTGTGTACTCGTATAACTAGAGAACTACGCAGCCTAGAGGAAAACTGAAGATATATTCAGAATCAGCACGTCTCGGAGGTGGTTCTGGCTGAAACAAACATTTAAAAAAGTTAAACATTGGAAAAAAGTACTAATTTACTATTCGTCAATAGATGGCGGTGCGTACAGCTTAACATCTCGGATGACTGATTGATGCTTTCTACGCAGAACGTCCAGATAATCATATAATAATACCAACATAATATAATCCAGTGGTCTGAAATGGATAACCCATCGGTCTTCTAAACCGGGCATTTTGGGTTGGAGTTCCACCTGGGGGAATCTTTTGTTTCTTTACTTTTTGACTGTTTAGTATGTACTTCTGCCACTTCACAATTAATTTCAAAATTTCAAAATTTTTACTACATTTAAAAGTTTAGTAAAAATCCAGAATAAACTATGGTAGATAATAATTATAGCGCAAATTGACGGGAAGCCTTCACGGAAGCCTATGTAGGTTACAGATCAAATATATTTTAATTATTTTTCCATGGTGGGCTGAAATTCACCAAATAAAATATAAAAAACGTAACAAATCTATATATATCAAGTTGTTCCATATAAAAACCATATAACAACCAAGGGCGTGATGCTACGAGAAAAGTGAATATTACATGCATATCTGATTTTACCATGCACATGCACGTGCTGGCAGCTCACCTGGCTCTACTTTGACCGTATAAGAATGGCCAAAGAAAATTATCCGAGGCCCAATTCCCCATCTAATACATATTTTTCAATGTGTGTCTGTTTGTCTGTTCTTGATTCAAATATATACGGAGCACTCTAGAAATGTCAAAGACGTTCAGTAGGGGTACATGTTCGTGCTGAATATCATGGGCACATTCGATTTGACCTCCGAGGTCATCTAAGCCACAAAAAAACGGAAAAATATACTGGTCCTTGCAGCAGCATTATAAAAAGGCACCCCTGCAGCAACACTAAATAAACGGGCCCCGGAAGCAGCATTAAATAAACGGGATTCACTTTGCACTGACTTGCATGACTGTACAATGCCCGTTACATTGCGTTACTATACATGCATTATATTACATCCGCCATGTCATGGTCGTAACAACATTCGCCTTGCACTGACTTCATACAGATTGTGCAAGACTATTTTCGCTAGGTTAGATATATAGATAGATATAAAGATAAATACATAGATTTATAGATAGATGGATGGATGTATAGATAGATATATTTTTGATAGGTTAGATAGATAAATAGATTTACAGATATATTTTTGTGTATTTTTCTTTCAACGAAGTTGTCGTCATCCGAGCGCTTTATTTCCCGGGTAACGCCGGGATAAATAGTTGATAAATAAATCTCGTAGGTAAAATATTTCTTATTTTATTACAAAATGTGAAATGGCTATGAATGTTAATTATAGGCTCTGCATCTGTTTTTCTATCATGCTTTTCTTTTATTAATTTGATAAAAAATTTCTTAGCCGCCACAAAGTTTGTAGACAAATAAATTCTTAGCCACCACAAACGGTTTGTGGACCCAAAAATTCATTAGCCACCACAAACAGTTTGTGGACCAAAAAATTCCTTAGCCACCAAAAACAGTGATGGGTAGCAAAAAAATTACCAAAAACAGTTTGTGGAACCAAAAATTACTTACCACCACAAACAGTTGTGGATGGAAAAAATTCTTAGACACCACAAACAGTTTGTGGACCAACAAATTTCTTAGCCACCACAAACAGTTTGTGGACCAAAAAATGTTTAGCTTCCAAACAATTGGTGCGCCTAAACCATTCTTAGACACCAAAGAGTTCGTGTGCCCGAAAATTTATATCGAACAACAGTGCCAGCACCCAGGTTACCCTCCGATAGTACCTTGGGGGACGTAGACCCTACCCTCTCAGCCCAACTGAGTGCGTCATTTCATGGGCAACGCCGGGTGTACTGCTAGTGCACATATATTCCTTAAACTGAATAGATTCTCTCTACACATAAAACTGTTTACTGTACGTAATAAACACTGTACTGTTCTTCCCGATGTATTTACCCTTTATTTATTAGTTATTCGTCTTTCTTCACAATTAGTTTCAGATAGACGATTACAATCGATTTGAATCATCCAGGTGGGATCAGGATAAAACGGAGAAAGAAGGGATAGGTATTAAAGCAGACATGCTTAGGGAATTACCTGACAGGTAAATTATTGACGATGTGCAATCGGCAAAGTTTGATTTAGCAAACATTTTTCCCATGCTGAAAGTAGTTAGTTCAAAATAAATGGTGCCAAAGAAATTAAACTTGCATACGTGCATGCTTGTTGTATTCGGGAGCATGAACCAATGTTTATTGAATCAGTAAAAAATATAATTAAACATTTTATTTCTGCCCCTACTAAACCAAGCATGTACTTATGTGACACGTTATCAAGATAAAGTGATAATAATAATAACAATAATGATGATGATGATGATGATGATGATGATGATGATGATGATGATGATTATTATTATTAATAATAATGATTATAAGTAACATAATAAGGAGATGTATGCTCTTATTTCCTCTTTACAATACGTATATAGTCGTGGTAGTCGTGGCGGATAGTGAACAATGAGGCACAATATATCAAATGTACCTTGACTAATCGATTTGTGTCAAGAAATGTGATATGCTGTGTGTTGTTGGTTTTTGTCAAACAACACGGCTGCAGGACAAATAATCTTGAATGTGGTGCAATAATAATATTGAGTAGGTCATATCGACCTGGATAAAATTTCCGGGAGCCCATGACTGTATTTGGAAAACGAAAGTAGCTTTTCAGATGTTCTTGTGACATTTTTCTGTTAATTTTAATATTTTGCCAAATGCCTCCTGATAATATACATTTGGATGAATTTGATAGCTCGTTGCATGTTAATGAAACTGATTTATAATTGAAATGGTTGCAGGGTTGTTGAGATTGTTGAAGAGATGCTTCAGGAAGGCAACAAGGACAGCAATAAATTGTTGAACGTAGATGATAATAGACAGGAGAGTGACTGTATTCTGCCGCAGTTGTCGAAGAAACTTTTGCTAAAAATCTGGGACTTCTCTGGAGAAGCTATACATTACACCATTCAGCAAGTAATTATGTTTTACTGGTCGTTTATTAACTGCTGCAGTTAATGCAATGTATAATTTGGCATTCAGGGTAGCCCATGTATACACACTGATGTTGCTAAAATAATAACTTGATACTTGTCAGTTTCCGTTTTTGAAAGAATGTATGTCCAGACTTTTATTGAAACCATTGGATTATAGTTAACAACTTAACTTCTGCTTGTTAAGTAAAACAATGTTCATTATCATTTGCATATATAAATGTCAGTATGTAAAAAGGGTTCCCCGTTATGAAATTTCTAGCTGGTTAGTAGCTTCTAATTAAGCAGGGTCTAAATGTGTTGTTTAACAGTTAAAGTTGTAATATTAGCAATCAGAATTCACAGCATGCGTTCAGTACATTTTAATGTTGTACTCCCGCAGCATTAAAATGAATTAATGAAGTGAGGTGGCTAATGTAAAGACACTGTATAGTTCAGGTGCAATTTGCTAGCTGGTAACATACTGGCACAAGTTGCATTCGGTTGACTGTAGTGTGCACAGGTCTAATGTCGCATGTTCTATGTTTAGGTGTTTCTATCAGCACGAGCAGTTTACCTGGTTGTCTTTAACCTCACCTGTGATCTTGACAAGCCTGCTGTCGTGCCGACGAGAAGGCATGTCAATGGAGAGGAAATAGTAAGTATTTGTTATTGTGTTATCCTCACTCGCGCACGCGGCCTCTGCATTTATAGCTAAATGGTTAGGTAATTGAAGGGCCGTACAAACTGCGTTGTATGTACGTGCGTGTACGAATATATACTCATGGGTACACCGAATCCAACCTTTGAAGTCTTGGCTGGAACAGGGATCGTCCAGACCTATCTCACCGGAACAGAATCTCGCAATAGAGCTAGAACAAGAACTCGCCAGAGATATCTGGTTGGAACCTGAAGCTTAGCCAGAAATAGTGTTACCCGCACATGCAGTGCCATATCCTGCTAACTGACTCAGCTCAAATGAAATGGCTTATTATCTGGCACGCACATCTGTCAGGGAAGCAGGACAATGCTCGGAATTCTAATTACAAGATGCTTGATTGCATGGTGAATCTCTAGCTTGCAGTGCAGAATCTCTGCAATAGATGCCTTTTGTAAGTATTGCTTTCGGCTACGAAAGCAAAATAATCAATTCATATACAAGGCATACCGGTATCACATATGGACATATCTGCTGTGATTGCGTGTCTGACACTTGTCACACGTCTGTCGCTCGTGTAAATTCACCGAGCATGTCGCCATTGACTGAAATCACAACTAGATGCAATTTTTAGCTCACCTTGACATCGTCAAGATGAGCTATTGCCATGGGGCGTCGTCCGTCGTACGTCCGTCCGTCCATCAACATTTGGCTACGGTCACCGATAACTTGAGAACCGTTTGACCCACATGTTTCAAATTGCATACAGTTATTACTCCTATGAGAGAGATGTGAACGTCCTTTTTTGGAGCACTCCAGTTGACCTACTTTCGAGCCATGTCCAGTTCATGTTTAGCGGATTTTGCTCATTTTAGGTATGTGAATGAATAAGGACTCGCCCCAAAACATATCACACGGGTTTTGATTTTTTATTATTTTTATGCAAATTAGGTAGATTTTGGCAATTCCACTGCATTTTAGTGTCTGCCTACGGTCAGCGATAACTCAATAACCGTTTGACCCACGTGTTTCAAATTGCATACAGTTGTTACTCCTATGGGAGAGATTTGAACGTCTTATTTTGGAGCACACCAGTTGACCTACTTTCGAGCCACGCCCACTTTTTGGCAAAAATGGAAATGGCCATTAAGTCGTCAGTTCAGGTTCAACGAATTTTGCTCATTTTTGGTATGTGAATGAATAAGGACTGGCCCCAAAACATATCACACTGGTTTTGATATTTTTTAGAAATTATGCAAATTAGGTAGATTTTGACAATATATATGGCCTATCTAACCCTGAAACAAAACAGTGAAATTTCTGTTACTATAAAACAGGGAATAAGGACATTTAATCACATTTCGGTCCGTCATAAATGAAACACTTACCAAATTTTAAATATCATCTTCCTCTTCTATCACACCCAAGGTGAGCTATAGTGTCATTGACACTTTCATTAAGTTAATATCGTTTCACGTAGCATGGGCATACTACTTAAAAGTTTTTTTTCCAAAAGTACAATCTTTTCATGTAGTTCAACATATTATTTATATGGGGTTGACTGTTATTCGTTACAAATTACTTGAAATAGTTGCACAGGAAGGCGCTTAAATATGTGAGAGTCTATTTAAGTATCCTCTATGGCATTCAGATAGAGATTCTGGAACGTGGTATGTATACAGTGGGTGTATGTGTGTGTGTGTGTGTGTGTGTGTGTGTGTGTGTGTGTGTGTGTGTGTGTGTGTGTGTGTGTTGTGTGTGGCGTTGCGTGCGTGCGAGGCGTGCGTGCGTGCGGCTGCGCGCGCGTGCGTGCTGCGTGCGTGTCGTGCGTGGTCGTCGCGTTGCGTGCGTTGCGTGCGTGTGTGTGGGCGCGCGCGCGCGTTCGTGTGTTTGCGCGCGTGTGTGTGTTGGTTGCGCACATTCAATCTCATTGTACGAAAAATATGCCATGCATTGTAATTGGTTGCGTATACTTCCAACGTACACACGACACAAAACATTATTTGCTAGAAATACATAAATCATTTGCAGGGCTCCCTTAATCGATAGCATGCGTGCCTGGATCTCGGAGCATATATTTTTCACTGTAGCAACTTAGAGTACACTCCATGTAGCTGTCATGCAGGTTCATGGTATGAGTGTCGGAGTGTTATCAGTATACCATTTATGGTTGCACAGGAAAGTAATAATGAATGCTGTTTAAAAAATTCGCCCTAAAAATTCATAATTTCGTGGTAAAAATGGGTTTGAATTGACGCAACCTTGAGCAATTCCATATGTCTATCAGCATATGTTGGTACTAATGTCGTGGTTACGAATTAACACACAACCTTAAACTATAAATTATTTTCTGATTTAATGCTCACTTTGTAAACCTTTACTGGATTGTATTTTTAACTGGTGGTAATATTTTGGACTTGCGAGATTTTTTTCTGAAGTTATAGGTCTATGTTAGGATTACCAAACTGTGCTCCTCAGGTCTCGACATATTTGGTCGTGACAATTTTCTATTGAGCTTGTACGTGGGCGTTGTTAATTAGTTTGTGATATTTACGTTGCATATGCCTACTAATTTTTTTAGTGCCTTAAAAATTGAGCTATTATTTGCACACGAAGAATGTACTGTTTTCACGTGATTGACGTTAAAAAACACCTATTGTATTGACGCTGTTCAGAGACTGCTGGCGTTATGAAATTACACGTCCACGTGTACACAAGGAGGACATTACTCATTTTAATTCGTTGTGTGTAAATATGCCGAATGCACGCGTCTTTCTCGTACATATCAGTTTTCTGCGAGCTGAGTGCATCACGCGACGATAGCACGAGTTGCTCGTACGTGCGTCACTCAGAATCCGGGACAGACGTTTTCTTCTTACGTACTCTCGTGTCTCTCTTCTCTCTTGTCACGAGTTGATGCGTCAGTACATGACGTGATCACGACAGACGCTCGCTTCTGTGTATATATGTATATGTAATTATGTATCTGTATATGTATATGTATATGTATATATGTATATGGATATGGATATGGATATGTATCTGTATCTGTATCTGTGACGCGTACACACGCACGCACGCACGCATGCACACACACACACGCTTTATTTATGGTGCTCAGAAACAGAGAATGTCACGTGTGATACATACAAATCAATAAATAACTTGTAATCGAATTTTAATATTATATAAAAAGAAACGAAACAAAGGATATACAACGACAATGCCCATGCACTGCTTGAAATTTACCATCTTAATCTTAATCCTAATCCTATCTTTAATCTCCCTGCCTCCCCCTCTCTCTTTACTCGGCTAGAGCCCTGCAAGATAGTCGCTCTTAAACTCAATCCTAGCGCTGTCTTTAATCTCTCTCTCTCTCTCTCTCTCTCTCTCTCTCTCTCTCGTCGGGGCAGCTCGGCGAAGAGGCAAGCGAGCTGAGCAACCTTGACGCGCTCTGCTTCTGGCTGCACGCGATCCACGTGAGCGCGTCGCGGGCCGACGCCGCGCGCGCCGCCGCCGCAGCCGAGGCGTACAGCCCGCCTGCTATCATCGTCGGCACGCACCGTCGCCAGCTCGCTGACACGGAGGTCGCCCGATGCAACCTGGTGAGCAACCGGCCGCCGCTGGTGGGGGTGGAGTGGTCGAGATGGTGTGCAGTTAATAAAGGGGGCGTGGCATGGACAACTATATTTATTTATTTTTCTGAAATTTTCTGTTTATTTTTCTCACTGCAGACGTTGTGCAGTAATTAAGGTGTGTAGAGGTGTGCAAAAAAAAGAATAAATAAATATATAAATAAATAAATAAATGTGTATATATATATATTTATTTTTATTTTCTTACTGATGCTTGATTTTCGAAAACTTGATTTGAATGTGGTATTTTTCAATGTATATGATATATTAATGAGTGATATGTGGGTGGTACTGCATTGTGCATTAAGATACGCTTAAATGTGGGTGAACAAGCACCATCGTGTAATCGCATGTAGAAATACTTGCATGGCTGCTGGCTGGTAATTTCAACCTTCGTATTAAAGATTGAAGGTTATTTCGAAGGGGAAAATTATGCACATGCAGTCACTATCGCTAATGCATGCAATGTTTGAATAGGTTGAACAGAAATTCAAGAGAATACGAGAGCAGATACGTGACAAGCCTTATGCCAAGCATGTGATCAATACCTTCTTTGACATTGACATCTGCGATGAAATAGACGATCTAATGGTAAGTTATTTATTCTTATTTTGTCATTTTATGTAAATTTTTTGTTTCATTTAGCTTAGTCGCCATTGGTGATGCTCTATCAAACAGTTTCTACACGGCTTCCTGAACGTGTTGTATCATGATTGTGTATACCAACAACGCAGAGAATATAGGATTATTTGCATATTTTTATGATGTGAAAATACATGATGAGACTTGGCTATAGTTATTGAACCACCTTTTTGCAACTAAGAAAGCGTGGTTTTTTTTAGCTTCACTCTCTATCTATATCTATCTCTCGGATTACCTGATGGCGCACGTAGACATTGTTATCGGCTTGTTACAATCTATAGCTACAGACGTATAGCTATAGAGGGATCATTATTCGGCTTCAGTTGTCCATGTCTGTCGTGTAAGCTGCTTGCATGCAGCAGCGCAGCACGTAACTGACGTGCGTTATTCATTCTAACCCGTTAACCATCACGTGTGCGCAAGCATATATGGCATGAAAAAATCTCAACATGCAGTTACACGCAAACATATATTATATTGCTAGATATTACACGTTTTACAAACATGTTTCGTATATAATTTCGTATAAATAATACATATTTATTATATAATATTACAAATTTATAGCAATATTTTCCGTCATAAATGCTGTTTAGATTAACGTTTATTGTGTCGAAAAAAAGTTTAAATATAATGCTTTAGTATTTACAAATTGTTGTTATCAGCTAGCCTTTGTATTAAAATGGTCATGTTCAGTATTTTGCAATTAACATATAAAACCCTTTTCAATATCTACAATAATGTTATAATTATATAGTTGCTTATATTAATAACTATTATTATTGATTATATATATATTATAGTTATAATTGCAATATAGAAATATATTAAATATATTGTTAGCTACTTATATGATTCAAGACATGCCAATGTCCAAATGCCAAATGCCATATGCCATATGCCAAATGCCAATGTTCAAATTTCCCAGCAGACAGACACCTATTTATTTATAATCTGTGCTCCAGTAAAGTGCACCTGTAAATCAAGTCGTGGTTTCTTTGCATGTTGAATAAATAAATTACCATTAAGAACGTGAGACTAGAATCAGGCCGTATACAAACCTGTGTCGATGCTATACTTGTCATATACACATATTCAGTAGAATGTTATCAATAATATCGTTCTGCATGGTGACATGGTCAATCTTTTAGTTAGTGATTTCACTGATGTTAATTAATCGATATATCAGCTAGGTAGTGTAAGTAATGTTCTCATTAGTGCTTTTCTGCAATGTTGCTCTTTCTCGTAGCTTCCAGTACACTAGCTTTTCTGATGCGCATTATTATTCACTGCTGTTATGGTAGCGTTATGGAGTAGGTCAGGGTGTACCTCCATCATCCTATATATCGTCTCACATCACTGCGCTTTCGTAATGACAGGGGGCACCACGGCAGTCTGTAGCTGCCTCGCGCTGCTACGCGCGTGTGATTGCAGCTGAGGGGAGCGGTTAGCATTTCCTCCAGCAGCCTATAGTTGCCTGCGTCGCTGTACTGTCGCGAGGCAGTCATTAGCCGCCTCCCGCGTCGCCGTACACTTGTGATGGCTGCAAGGTGAGGCTGTCGTCAGTGCTGTCAATATCTTTCTATATACCCCTGCGCTCCTACGATAACAGAGGGTGCTACAGTCAACACCTCCCTCCTGCATTGCTGCGATCGCAGTTAGGGGAAGCTGTCTTCGGTGCCTTCAATATCCTCCAATGCACCCCTGCGCTCCTACGATAACAGAGGGTGCTACAGTCAACACCTCCCGCCTGCATTGCTGCGATCGCAGTTAGGGGAAGCTGTCTTCGGTGCCTTCAACATCCTCCAATGCACCCCTGCGCTCTTACGATAACAGAGGGTGCTAGTCTACACCTGCCGCCTGCATTGCTGCGATCGCAGTTAGGGGAAGCTGTCTTCGGTGCCTTCAATATCCTCCAATGCACCCCTGCGCTCCTACGATAACAGAGGGGGCTACAGTCAACACCTCCCGCCTGCATTGCTGCGATCGCAGTTAGGGGAAGCTGTCTTCGGTGCCTTCAATATCCTCCAATGCACCCCTGCGCTCCTACGATAACAGAGGGTGTTACAACTTTTACCTCCCGCCTTGCGCCTCACGCTGTGCGACAGACGGCACTGCCCACCTCACACCGCCAGGAACACGTTGGGCACGGAGAAGTCGAGTTTGAGCTTGCGGCTCTCCGGGTCGCCGGGCCGTGCGATCGTGATCTCGCCGACCAGCACGACGGTGGCGACGTTGTCGAGCACGAGCTGGTAGGTGCCAGGCAGCAGCACTTCGTTGTGCTTGACGTGGCAGGCGAAGCGGCCGCTCCACGGCGCGCTCGGCTTGCCCGGCAGCAGGATGCGGTAGCTGTGCTGGAACGTGCAGCGCAGGCGGCCGCCGCCGACGTCTACGGCGGCGCCCCCGCGCGCGCCGTCCCAGTGCACGGGCAGCACCGGGTGCTCGCTGTGCCGCGCGGCCTGCGGGGCCTCGCTCAGACCTGCAGCGAGAGAGAGAGAGAGAGATGAGTGTGATATTCCGTAACTTGCTGCTACTAACTTACTTAACTACACAGATCTAATCGTCTAATGGCCATCCTTCGACGGTAACTGTTGCTAGGTCGATGAAGATAGACGAGTGTGTACGTGTCTTTCACGCTAATGTAATGATTTTTGATTTGAAATTAATGCCAATTTGGCAACTTTGAGCCACTTTGTTGCCAGGCAGCGTTTTTCGAATGCCCCCATCGCAAGAACGATTGTGTAGCAATATCTGTCAGTCACTCAGGAAGATAGGTGAATTCTCTTTACGTATTATGGATTGTAAGGCTTGCACATGCCTCAGGCGCGTGTTATGTTACGTACACTAGCTGCGGTCATTAATTTACGGCATGAACACATGTATGGAGTATAGATATATGTTTGTATGACTAGCCGTCGAGATCATGTTTAGAGGTGACCTATTGCAGCTTCTGTGCGAGCGCACTCGCACGCCATGATTGTAGGTCGCGCACGGCGTTAATTTGTCTCCTGCACACGTTGCTATATGCATTGATCATACACCCATTATTTACTATGGAGACGATGCGCATGTCTGTCTTATAGAGGTCGGGGGGCATCTTTAGAAAAATTTTAGTCGTAATATTAGTCTCAGTCGTGTGTTTTTCTATGGGTTATAGAAGTACTAATCATTATCGTAGAGCTACACCGATGTTTTACGACAACGCCCCCATTGACGTTTAGAGGTGACGGTATCGTGTTTCTGTGAGCGCAAGCGCATCACTATAGTGTAGGTATTGCACATCGTTTGTTGCGTGCAAGCGTGATTGTTGCATCAACCACACATATATATATATGCTCATTTGTACCACAACTATGTTGACAAAACTTTCTATAGTCACAATTCAACGTGTGATTATCGATCGTCGCTCCTTTTATGCTGCGATTACTCGACAATAGAGTCGTGATGAATAATGAAATTTTAATGAATTGCGTAATAACAATACGTATCGTCAATTTTCCGCGCTAACCGTCGATGGCCGCAGCGAATGCGGAACGAGAGTGGGCGAGTGATTGTTATGTATATATACGTACCGGCGGGAAGAGAGATGTCAAGCCAGGTTGTCTCCGTTGGTGTGCGGTCTTCAGGGTCCGGCTCTATGCTCAGCGTGTACTTGTTGCCGCCGCCCTCTCCCTTGACCACGGTCAGTCTGTTGTCACCGGGCAGCTTCGCCTTGTTCCACATGATGGTGACCGGCACTTTCGTCAGAGATTCGTCGAGATTGTACTCGGGACGCTCCGCTGTCTCGGCGGTGGCGCCATCTTGAGGCTGCTCTGTCGCGTCGGGCATCTCGCCCTCGGACAGTATGACCTCGATGATCTCTTCAAAGTCGACGTCGAAGTAGTATTCGAGGCTGAGTACTGATGGAATGTTCTGCGCAACGTCTCTACCTGCGAGCGTAATAGTGACATTTTATAGACTCCTGTATATACTGCTGTAATATAGACTCCTGTATATACTGCTGTAATATAGACTGCTGTATACTCCTGTAATATAGACTGCTGTATATACTGCTGTAATATAGACTGCTGTATACTCCTGTAATATAGACTCCTGTATATACTCCTGTAATATAGACTGCTGTATACTCCTGTAATATAGACTGCTGTATACTCCTGTAATATAGACTGCTGTATACTCCTGTAATATAGACTCCT